AGTAGAGGACGAGAGAGAGAGAGGCCCAAAATGAACACCAATGCAGCGGCTCTCAAGAAAAAAATTCTTCCATCATCGGGCAATTACACCAATCTATCTCAGACAGGATATGTAAGAAGGGGGAAAATCAATAAGAAAACCCCGTAGAAAAAAATAATGAGAAATCATTTTCAAAGCATCCCTCAAAAATGGGTAAAATCATGTAAAATTGGGAAGTCCCTTTCTCCATGCTTAACATACAAAAAAAAACAGAGAAAACCCAAAGAAAAATTGAAATAAAAACAAAAGAAAGAGAGAAAACCCTAGATGACAAAGGCTTGGAATGGGAAAGAAATGAATTGGAATCCAAAATTGGAGATAATTAGTCCTCTCTTTTAGAAGGACTTCATTTTTAGGGCAAAAAACACGAGAAACATAGAGCGGCGAAAAAGGGCAAAGTTAGGGTTGGAGTGATACTGTGAAGTATATATCTATGTTGAAGGCATAAAATACGCCTCATAAGAGACTAAAATTGCGGAAGTACCCTCTATGCATGTGGTGGGCAATCCAACGTTCAAATCCGAATCCGAGCAAAGAAAAGAAAATTAATTGGAGGAGGTTTTTATAGGGCTCAGGCTTTATGCCTCTAATTCTCATTTGGAAGGTGCTTTCGTAACGGAAATTTTCATGATGTCGTTAAAATCATTTTTTAATTTCAACAATGAAATTTGAAATTCAAAAAATAGTATTGATCTTGTGGATCTATGGACACTTACTTTTAGGGTGAAATGAACAATCTAGATAATTTGTATAATATACATTATTTATAGAGCTTGAAATCCTATAATTTTTTTACATCCATAATGTTTAAGCCAAGATGATCGATATAAAGATTTTTTTTTTCACAACCATAATGTTCAAGCCAAGATGATTGATGTAAAGGTTTTATAATCTTTGAATTACAATTCTCAATGAGTTAGGAGACAAGGTTTTACTTATTTTAATAGGATTGCAATCCTACCAACCTTTTTTTCTTTTAACTTAATCATTAAATAAAGGTAAATTAGACATTTTTATAAAAGTATAGTGGTATTTTTTTAAAAAAAAAAGTATATAATGAGACCATTTTACTTTGGTACAAAGTAGTCACAATTGATCTTGACCATTGGATGTGATAGTAAATGGTTGCATTTATTCTATGGACCACACTTAAACTTGAAAAGAAATTATTTCAAACACACCCAAGCTATCAGATTTCACATCGGATGGTTGTAAACAATGTTCGTAAAATCGAACCATAACGGTTAACCGGACATGGGCTTGAAAGCAGTTTAATCGACCTAACCAATAAACAGGCTGATTCAATCATTTTGACCGGGCAAGTCTTGGGCGGTCAAAAAAGTGTTGAAAAAAATATACAAAAAAAATACTAAATTAAAAAGTATATAAATAATGATTAAAACAAAACACATTCAAATGAAGTTGAAAATTAATGAAAAAAATGGATTTTAATGAATCTATGTGTGCTTAGCGGTATTTTCAAAAAATTTCGAGAAAGATGGGAAAATATAAAAGTGAGTATTAATGAACAAAACAATTTTTAATTTTTACCATAATGTAAAGAATATTAAAAAATAGATTTCAAATCAAAATCCTTATTTTTTAGAATTTATATACATTCTTTTGAATTTTTTCTTTTTAAATACTGATCGATCACCAAAACCGAAACCTGGCAGTGGCCGATTTTGATCTAACCGAGAAGTTAGCGGTTAGATTGCCCGGTTTTTCCAATAGTGGTTGTAAGTATATGTTATCTCCTTGTATCAAAGGTAAAGTGACTCATTGTATACAATCCCTTTTGAAAATTAGTGTGCGGAACTTTATTTATAGAGTATCTTTCCCATTTAGTAAGAATTTCAATTTTTACCCCATTATGAAAATGACAAAAGTATCATTTGTCTTTTAGTGATATTTACACAAATATTATTACTTGATGAGCAATATATCATTATTATTATTATTATTAAATACACCTCATATTTAGTAAAAGATGCAATTTATATCAAGCCAAGGCTCTAAACAATCAAAGTACAGTACACCTTCAAATAGTGTCGTGAAATGTGGTTTCAATACTGTAAATCTTTATGATAGCCTTAAAATATATTTTTCATCTTTAATTATAAATTTTAAAGCTTATAAAATGTTGTAGATCGAACTTATCTATGAAATTTTGAAATTCAATGTGTTACAAGATGCACTATTTTCAAAGCTTGAAATCCATTTTTCTCTCATGCCCATGCGTCTTGATTTCGAAATGATTAATTTGAGGATATTTAAGCATCAAAACAACCTCGTCTAGTGAAAATTTTGAGGTGGGCTCTAATTTAATTGTTTAAAGCCTCGGCTCTATATAAACTTCTTCCTTTAGTAAATCCACCCATCACAATTTACTTTAACATTAGCTTTTGTAATTTGAAAGGTTGTGACTCGTAGATTATCCATATTTCTTAGTTATAGTTATTTAGTTTTATTTATAAAACTAATCCTACACTCTAAAATTCATAAATATATTTTATTTTAATAAAAAAATTAAAATTAAAATATAATATCTTTAGTTCAAGGTGTTTACAATTAAGCTTGACTATTGGATGTGAAATTGGGTAACTCACTCTAACATTAACCTTTGTAATTTGAAAGGTTGTGAATGGTAGATTATCTCTATTTTTTAATCATATTTGTTTAGTTTTATTTATGAAGGATGCAATTTGTATAGAGCCAAGCCAAGGCTCTAAACAATCAAAGTAAAGTGCATCTTCAAATAGTATCGAGAAATGTAGTTTCAACACTGGAAATCTTTATGATAGACTTAAAATATATTTTTACCTTTAATTATAAAATTTAAAGCTTAAACAATAGTGTAGATCGGACAGATCTAGAAAAACTTGAAAATTTGCAATCCAAAAATACGTTAGAAGTGTTGGGTTTATGTGGTCTTTCAAGGCATTATGAGAGCTTGTATGATCATTTTATATAATGGAACATAAACTCAGTGGGAGTGTGGTCCTTTGTGGACCATACTAGGCAAATGTTATTTACTGATACTCGGACTAGGCTCTACAAGCTAGGCCAGCTGAGGGATCTACCGATAAGGGTTTAGTGGGTTATCCCTTAATGAGGTCAGAGTATGCCCAGATGAGAGCCAATCGACATTGTGACCCTTGCGTGTGATGAATAGCCTTTAGAGACAAGGCTAAAACATCATCGTTATATCATCACACGACATATACATAGATAGCCGTTTTGAGATTCACCAATAAAGATGATGCGTGTAATGTACGAGAGATTACCTATATGCATCATAGAGTCATGTTTGTATCATGGTCAGGAAGACCATGATTTTTTTATCTCTAGGGGAGAACCTGAAATTCATAAACTGGGATTGTGTTCCCTAGTCTATTGGCTGACTTTGGTGGTCCAATCATGAGTCCCTGTAGTGGACTGTGGGTCATGAAAACTGCTGGGCCAGTTTGAGAAAGCTTGGCATATCGTGATTCGCAGTTGAAAGTGGAGTGCTCCCATATATTGATAATTTCCTAGATCTAATGGATTCGATTCCCATCAAAATTAATTAATTTTAATTAATTTTATGCTATGTGATTTTTAGAATTTTTATTTGAGTTTTTGTGAATCTTATAATATTTTATTTTTGTCATTTGGATTTATAAATTAAACTGAAATTAATTTTTCAATATTTTAAATAAAATATAAGATTTAAAAATTCTAAATATGAAATAAAATATTTTTTAAAAATATATGGTACCTCCATAACATATGGGGCCCAAAATTTTAAAAATGTGGCATGCCCCTACCTATTCACGTAATATTATTGGGAAGAATGTGTATCCTCTTGGTTGACTTATCTTTTTAGGTATAGTCCATTTATGTGATAAGGTTGAATATTTGAGATATTTACTAATTGATTGATTGATCAAATAATTAAAATTTTTGATATATTAAAATATAAGATTTCCTTATTTGATAGGAATAAATTTAAGAAAGGAATGATAAGGCTCTAGCTGTATTTGAATCTTGATAGTGGATCAAAGATATGGATGACTCAAATCTCTCACCCCACAAGTCTCCTTAAATTGACGGTTGAGATGTGACCCTACAAATAAAATCTATGACATAAAAAATCTATAAAATAAAGTCTCCATATGATATACGGATTCTCTTTTATCTCTTTAACCATTCTCTCTCCCTACCCAAAATTTAGCTCTCTCTGAAAATGACTTTGGATTATCAAAGGGAGAGCCCCAATTTGACGCACGCCCCAATTTTAGCTATCTTTCTCCAAGTTGTTTGAGGCAGACCCCAATTTTATCTCTCTCACTCCAAGTTGTTTTGGGTATGCCTAAGCCTAAGTGGTGCTTAGATGGTGTTTTATTCTTGGGTGGCAAAGGTGTGGAATCCCTTGCTAGTAGATATCTCCCTCTCTCTTCATGTTCATCTCTCATCTCTCTAAAAGCATAGTAAGAGGCTTGATCAAGATTATGCCATTGAGTGGATTTTTGCCATAGTAGAAAATTAACATACCAATCATAAATCCCGAGAACCAGCGGATGGAGGAAACTTGACGTGGGGCGTACTAAACCCGGTCGAGGTAATCTCTAGCAATTTTATTTTTTAAAAATATTTACTTCTCTTCTCCTAAATCAACAAAATCTATTTTTCTTTATTGAATAAAGAATTGTATTTGAAGAGGTAGCAATTGAGAACCGATTTATTTTTATTTTTTTAATTTCAAGAGTAGTTTGATTATAATTGGACATTTTAAGTGATC